GGGGGAATGGTCACACCGCAATCCCTTCTCCTCCATTCTCCTCTTGGGATCTTGGGCACGCACACACACGCGCCCAGAGTGAGTTTAAGCCACCAGGTCTGGGACACGAATCGCGGTCAACTAAGTGGGAGTCCAGCGACATAGCCATTATGCTAACTGCTGGTTCCCCTGAAGACAAGATCTTTGGTGAAGAGATTCCGTGTGTACTTTCTCTTAACCCCGGGGAGGTGCACCCTGGTGGATATAGAGGGAAAGGCAGCTTTCATTGCTCATTGGGAAATAGTGAAGAACACTTTATTGCCCCCGTTTTTAAAGCATGAGTTTAATTCTAATTATTATTATTATTTTAATTTGACCGGGGCAGGGAGGGGATGAGAAAGCAAGCCACCAGGCCCAGGACTTGAACCATAGTCAACCATGTGGGAGTCTAAGGCCTTAACCACTATGCTACTTGCTGGCCTCCATCCCCCAAACCCTTTTTTTTTTTTTTTTTAAGAATTATTTTACTTGGGACCAGCAGGTGGTTAAGGCGCTGGACACTCCCACATGGCCAACCGTGGTTCAAGTCCTGGACCTGGTGGCTTGGTTCCTCAATTTCCATCTCTCTCTCTTTGTCTCTCTGAGGTCAAATTGAGGTAAATGACTGAATAAATAAAATTGAATAAATAATTCTTTTAAAAAAAAGAATTATTTTACTTAACTTTATTTATTTTAATATGACCAGAGAGGGAGAGAGAGAGAGAGAAAATGAGAAAGCAAGCCACCAGTCCAGGACTTGAACCACAGTCTCCATGTGGGAGTCCAGGACCTTTAACTACCATGCCACCTACAGGCTCCCCTCCCTTTTTTTTTTAGAATTATTTTATTTAACTCCATTTATTTTAATATGACCAGAGAGGGAGAGAGAGAGAGAGAAAATGAGAAAGCAAGCCACCAGTCCAGGACTTGAACCGCAGTTGCCATGTGGGAGTCCAATGCCCTTAACTACCACATCATCCACAGGGCCCCCTTTCCTTTTCTTAAGTTTAAGTTTTTACTATAGGTCACATGCACTCTCCAGAAACAGAATAAGAATAAGAAGTCCCTTTTTTTTTTAAAATCTTTTTTAAAAAGAATTATTTAATTTAATTTTATTCGTCCTTATTCATCCTCTCTGGTCATAGTTTTCAATTTGACCAGAGAGATGCAATTAGAGTGATAGAGAAACTGAGAAAGCAAGCCATCAGGTCTGGGACTTGAATCCCAGTCAGCCATTTGGGAGCTAGCACCTTAACCACCAGGCTACCTGCCCAATTAATCAGCCTCTTCAACCATACCTAAGGTTATGATAAGAGGTGACTCTTGGTGGGCCCCTGAATCTGAATGTGGGTGGTTGACAAAGAACACCCACGCAGATAGAGGATCAGAACTCCCCAGCCTACTCTCCTGACCTTCTAGGAGGAGAGAAGGGCTGGAGATTGAGTAATTACCTTTGTCCGATGATGTGACTGGTCATGCCTATGTGATGGAGCCTCCATGAACAATGAGGTTTGGAGAGCTTCCAGGCTGGGGAAAGCATCCATGTGTTGAAAGAGCAGAACATCCCAGCTCCATGGGAAAGCCCTGTGCTTGGAGCCCTTCCTGACCTCACCGTTAAATTTCCTCAGTTGATTATTCACTTGCATCTTTTCAAATATCTTTTGTAATTAACCAGGAGTAATACGTGTTTTAGTCCATTCAGGCTGCTACAACAAAAATACCCTAGAGTGAGAGGCTTACAAACAACTTATTCCTCACAGTTCTGGAGACTGTGAAGTCCAAGATCAAGATGCTGGCAGAACAGGCATCTGGTGAGGGTCCCCTTTGTAGTGACTAGACTGCATCTTTTTGCTGTGACCTTACATCTGAAAGGGATAAAGGAGCCTCTGAGGGGTCTCTCCTATGAAACCAATCTCACTCGCGAGGGCTCCTCCCTCATGACCTCATCACCTTCTGTAGGCTCCACTCTCAATACCATCACCTTGGGGGACCAGCAGTTAGCGTAATGGCTATGTCGCTGGACTCCCACGTAGTCGACCGCGGTTCAAGTCCCGGACCCGGTGGCTTAAACTCATGCTGGGCGCATGTGCATGCGTGCCCAAGATCCCAAGAGGAGAATGGAGGAGAAGGGATTGTGGCGTGGCCATCTTCCCTGGGGGGTGATTTCTCACTTTCTGTCTCTCTGTCTCTGTCTGTCTGGCGAGCCCTCGTGCCCTCTAGCAAAAACCTCTCCAAAAAAAAAAAAAAAAAACAAAAAAAAAAAAAAAAAAAAAAAACATCACCTTGAGAGCTAGGATTTCAGCATCTGAATTTTGGAGGGCAAGAGAGAAGAGCAGCTCAGAGCAGTTTGTAGACTGCAAGCCTCACGTAAATCTTAAACACCAGAATAAAGCATGAGCCTGAAACTGCTTATGCCCCATATCCCTTAGGGTTATTGCTGTTAACAGACATAGACAGGCTTTGCAGAAATAATCATTCATCTGGTTTATGAGTGACCTAGACCCAGAGAAAAACAAAAAGTGTCTCTCGGGGTGCCGAGATACAGTGATTCCTTTTACTTAGCTCTGAGAACAGGAGAGTTGTCAATCAGCATAGTCTTTTACAGGGACCAGCAGATGGCATAATAGTTATATTGCTGAACTCCCACATAGTCGACAATGGTTTGAGTCCTGGATGTGACTGCTTAAAATCATGCCAGGTGCATATGCACACATGCCCAAAATCCTGAGAGGAGAATGGGGAAGAAGAGATTGTGGCGTAGCCATCCCTCCTGCAGGAGGATGATTTCTTGCTGTCTGTCTGTCTCTCTCTCTGGTGAGCATACACATCCTATAGCCATACACACACACACACACACACACACACACACACACACACTCAAAGCAAATGATCAAACCCAAAGAGGAGTATGGGAACCCCCAATCTGTAGCTAGTCAGTCGGCAGCATGGGAGACCCACACTTGTGATTGGCACCTGAATTGGCAAGATTAGCAGTCTCAAGGGACTGAGCTCATAAACTGTGGAGTCCGCACTAACTTCATATAGATAGTGCCAGAAACGAATTAAATCACAGGCCACTCAGTCATATCTGGAGAGTTGAACAACTTGTTCTCTGGATACTAACCCACACATCAGTGTCGGGAGTATAGTGGGGTTTCCTGGGGGCACTTACTAGCAGCTCTGTTCCACCTGGGGTTTAAAGGTGTCTATTAAGAGCACAATGCAGGGCCAGTAGATGGAGTGGAGGTTAAAGTGGCTGGATCCTACATGACCAACTGACTACACAGTTAGGGTCCCAGACCTGGCACTTTGAAAAACATGCTGAGTGCCTGTGCATGCCCAAAATCCTAAGAAGAGAATGGAAAAGGGATTGCTGGATAGCCATACCCCCGGGGGAAGTATTTCTTACTTTCTTTCTCTCTCTCTCTCTCTCTCTCTCTCTGTGTGTGTGTGTGTGTGTGTGTGTGTGTGTCTGGTGATCACATGTGCCCTATAGTAAAGTTTTTAAAAAAAAAAAAGAGGACCAGGCAGGGTCATCACGAGTAGCCCCCTCTCCCGCAAGGTTCCCCAGCATTGTCACTGTGCTCAGAGCTGCAGCTGATGCTCACCCCTCCACAGTCCTAGAACCAAATGCTGCTCTTCCCAGCTGAAGGAAGAAGCAGATGAAGGCACCGTCTCGCAGAGGAGAATCTGAAGGGCATCAGGAACTCAGCCTGCTTGACTCCAAATTATAAGTGCTCCTGTGCCTTCCTGGAGGACCCTGCAAGAGATAAGGGCAGGGGGCCAGCAGGTGGCATAGTCGTTAAGGCACTGGACTTCCCTATGTCCAACCACAGTTTGAATCCTGGACCTGGCAGTTTGAAACACACTGGGTGCGTGTGTGTGCGTGCGTGCCCAAAAGCCTGAGAAGGGATTGGAGGAGAGGAGATTGTTGCATGACTATGCCCCTTGTGGGGTGATTTCTCACTTTCTGTCTCTCCAGGAAATGGATGTGCTTTGTAGCAAAAATCTCTCAAAAGAAGAAAAGAACAAAGGGCAGAACGAAGCCTGCGAGAGAACTCACCCTTGCTTCCTCAAGGACCCTGGGCTGCAGTGCAGAGCTGCAGGCCCCCTGACAGAGCTCTCCCGGGAGAGCCGCAGAGTCCAGCAGAAACGCCGGCCCCTCCTTTCGCTGTTACCTCGGTTTCTGAGATTTTGGTCTGGCAGTTGAGACATAAACTGGTACCCTTCATCTGGAAAACCCTGATGATCTAAGGTTCATGGTGTTTGTTTTGTTAGTTTCCCCCCTCTGTCTGGTGTTTTGCTTTCCTTTAGAGGTAGGTGTAAGTGGAGTGACGACTGCATTTTCATGGTCTGTGGGCTGAGGCTGACGGGGAATAAAATAGGCATCCATTCCATGCCTAATACGAAGATTCTACTCCCAGTAATGTATGTATGTATGTATTTTTAAATAATTATTTTATTTTAACTGTATTTGTTATTTTTTCCAATTTGATCAGAGAGAGACAGAGAGAGGAAAAGTGAGAAAGGAAGACACCAGGTCTGAGATCTGAACCATGGTTGGCCAAGTGGGAGTCCAGCTCCTTTAACCACCACACCACCTGCTGGTCCCAGTAATTAATTATTTTTCTAAAGAATTATTTATTTAATTTGATTGATTGATTGATTCATTCATTCATTTATTTAATTTGGCCAGAGAGAAAGACACAGAGAAAGAGAGAGAAAGTGAGAAAGGAAGTCACCAGGTCCAGGACTCAAACTGTGGTCAACCATGTGGGAGTGTCCAGCACCTTAACCACCACACCACCTGCTGCTCCCAATTTTTTTACTGATCATATGAGGAGTTAAATAGTTCAAGAGATGACATCTTCATTTATTCATAAGAAATGTTTGGTGTTTGTCGCAGTCTGGAGTGAGCACAATTTCTAGAATTCTCCTATGTAGAGGGAGAAACTGTTGTTTCTAAGCTTCTCTAAAAATAAAGACGACTTAGTAACCCAGGTAGAAAGCTACTCTGCAACAAGCCAAACCCTAAGACGGGAGGGACTGAAACAATCCCCTTCCTGGGAATGGAGGGCTGGGTCTGGGGTCACTGTAGAGGCATTCTGGGTTCTAGGAAAGCATTTCTGCAATCTTTATTTTTTTAAGAATTATTTATTTATTTTTTAAAAATTTTGACTATAGGGCACGTGAACTCAGCAGAGAGACACACAGAGATACAGAGAGAGACAGAGAAATGGAGAAAGCAAGCTGCCAGATCCAGGACTCGAACCACAGTCATCCATGTGGGAGTCTGGTGCCCTTAACCACCTCACCACCTGCTGGGTCCTCAGAATTTTTTAAGGGTAGAAGGACTCTTATTCCAAGCAGATTCAGGTAGTCTCCAGGATATGAATATGGTTCAAAAGGAGTGGGTCTAGATATGAACATGGAAAGGGTTAAGGATGGAGAAATGGACAAAGGACTGCAGCGTGACCACACCCCCTGGGGGTGCTTTCTCCCTCACCCTCTCTCTCCATATCTCTCTGGCAATTATAAAAACAAAACCAAAAATCTTTAGTCTTTTAATGAATGCAATGATGTGACCACAGTTCCCAGCCAGTCTGATACCTGCAGAACTGGGTCAGTCCTCTACAGATCTGAGCTATTTTCTCTTATTTATTTAATTTTTTTTTTTTCATTTCCTGTAGGGCACATATGCTCACCAGAGAGAGGCAGAGAGAGAGAAATTGAGAAAGCAAACCACCAGGTCCAGGCCTAGAACCATAATCAGCCACGTGGGAGTCCAGAGCCTTAACCACCATGCCACCTGCTGGCCTGACGGATCTGAACTTTTGACCCCACGCAAGCACAGCCATCTGCAGACTGTAGGCACACGAGGCGTGTCAAACCAAGGGGGTGATGAGGACCGGAAGCACGAACAGGAGCGGCCCAGCTCAGTGGGGCACTTCCCCACACCGCCACTCACCACCTCCAGGTCCAGGTCCTGG